ATTCAGTGTGCTTGTCACATTCAACAGTGGCATTTCTTCTGACTTGTGTTTTTTTTATAATCTACACCCTTGCTTATATTTAAAAGATAATTTCTAATTTTTTTTGCAAGTTATTCTAACAAGGAGAAAGGCAAGTTTTGCTAAATCCTATTTCTTAATTGTTACTCTTCTTGCTCTGGAAATATTCTCTGGTCCTGAGTTTAATCTATTGCCAGTAAATTTATTTAAACTGTACTGCTTATTTAAATAACAAAGGTAATTGGTATTGAAATGATTTGTCTGTCTTGAAGTAGGACCCTGTTTCTGTTTAATGTAATGGCTATATTTAATCTTAGAATGAGCTGTCACATGCCAGGTGACAAATGCATTCATTGCTTGGTCTTGTCAGAAAACACAAGTCAGTGGTAATACAGGCCCCTTGGGGAAATTCTGTGGCCTCACTGAAAATGCGAAGCATGTGAAACAGCAACACACAAATCAAGCAGCCCAAGCTACTTTAGAGGCCCTTAAAGTTCTCTAGTAAACTGAGAGTGATTTCATGCTTATTCCACTTCTGTTGTCACTTCTTAGTCCAATTCAGAAGCAATACTTGTTCTAACCCAATAACAAAACCTGAAAGCAGAAACCCAACAACAAATGTTTAGTGCACACAGAGTCATTTCCCTGTTGCTGCTGGCCAGACCTCTTCTGCCACTTCCTTTGGAAGAATCAATACTTGAAACCTAGAAACAAATTATGTTGGCAAGAATATGTTTATCTATTGTTGTTGGGCAACTAATTATACCATCACAGCAGAGCCACAGCTTTAAACTTTGTTTAGATGGGAAGATAATACATTGTTTTTATGGTGTTTGAGTTTTTATAAATTTATCATTTGAGTAGGGAGAAGAATCTTGACCATGTCAAAGATGACTTGAAAAAAACCTCACTGATTTCTCTAGGGATGATAACTGGCAGTTCAGTCTCTTAGAAATGTTTTCTTTCTGCCCTTCAGGTTCACAGCTTGATTTGTTTTACTGAATAAATAAATGCTGTGGTTAGTAGAGATATTCATGTCTGGAATGGAAAGGCTCATCTGACCTGTTCTTTTTCTTCCAAAACAGTGTTGTTTAAGTATCTGTTGGATTTTTCAAATAATGCCAATTTGTAAAGTATATGACTTTTGTCTGGATATTTTTTTGCCCTTTGTTCTTTGGAATGTTTGTGGCCGTGGAGCTCCTCAGACACACAGCTAAATGATATGTGGGTGACTGGAGCTCAACAATGGCTTTTCTCTTTTATAGATCATCTCATAGAGAAGATTGCTTCTGGTATTTATTAGTGGAATATTTCATTTCTGTCTCACCAGTCTGTGTCATATAGGAACACTACTTGTCACAGCATTCTTCAGCAGCTAACGCTCACTCAGCAATATATCATGATAAGCTTCACACATCACATAATTTAGAAAACAGTTTGAGATTTGCAGCAGTGCCTTGTAACTCTGTGACTGATGGCAATATATATATTATTAATAACAGCATGTTTTCTCAGTGTTGTGCACTGGCAGAAGCGTTGGGTAGAATGAATTGCCCTCTGTTATGTATCATAAATCCCACAAATCACGTAGTGCATCATCTTCTTGTTTGCTCTGAGAACGCTTTGAATGCTTCTTACCATATTCTTCCTGGTTTTCATGACATCCATTTAGCATGTTCTGCTCTCTGTAGCTTTTCTGGGAGGACAGAGGGCGAGGGTAGATGCATCATGCCAGAGGAGCACCAGCAGTTAGTCTGGTTTTGCACCATCAGGCTTGTTTTGTTCTCTCCCTCCCTGAGCGGCTAACAGAGGATTTGTCTCCTGCAGGTTCAGAGCTGGAAAGGATGGAAGCTCCCAAAAAATATATATAACACAGATCAAAATCATACAGTCAAGACATGAAAAGATCTCACTAGATTTCTTTTTTTTATTTTAATTCTCAGCCTTAAGGATCCTACTTGCTCTTGAGCAGCTGTGCACAACCCCTGCCAGCTCCTGTCGTCTTCTCCACTTTTTAAAATGTAAAGCAACAAATTTCCTGGCAGTTTCTGCAAAGCAGTGTAATATAACTTTCATTACAAGAAGGTGGTGAACATAATGTCACTTTGTAACAGCTGCAATAAATGATGTGAAGCTATTAACATCTTTTCAAAACAAGTAACAAGTGACAGGGTATTTTTCATCTCTACTCCTGAGAAGGGGCATGCTGTTCTAAGCAGATAACATTTTGTTTGCACTTATCTGAACTAAGTACATTTTTACATTAATCCTGTAACTCCGTATGGGTTTGTGAAATGAAGAAAACTTTTAAAAGCTAGTGCTAAAATACACTCTAATGGCTGGGTTTCAGAATGAAAACTTGGGTGTTAGATTGTCTGTATGGAAATGCTGGTTGCTAACACAGGATTTTAGCGCACCCTTTTCCCTTTCCCTTTAGATTTATGATTCTATGAGAGTTGCTCACTCCATTGTTTATTTTTATATCAAACTATTTGCTTCTCATTTGAGTATTGTCAAAAGGTGAGACAGGTCTGATGTTTTTGAACGGCTTACTCAGTAGCTAAGTTCTTAGGAGATAGGTAAGGCAGTACAAATACAAGTGGGAAATAAAGGAGGAAGAGTTGAATTTGTCCATGTTGAGGTGCCAAGTCAGTCTATCTGTAGACTGCACAGAAAGGTTTTAAAAGTTCAGTGGTGGACACTGATAATTGAAGCCTTAATAAGTGACTCTTTGTTGAAGCAGAGCTTAAAGTCCAAGAGGACAAATGCTGCCTGGTTTACTTGTTTTGGCAGCTGAATTCCAGTTTCCATTGCACTGTGATTAGCATCATCTCCACAGAAGGGAGTTCAGAGCTGGGGAACGAAGCTCTAGCAAAGGGTGCCACTGGTTTTCCTACGGAGCTGTCTTGACATCATAGATCGTATGAAAAACAAAGTTGACATTGTTTCTAGCTGAATGAATTCTTTCTCACGCTGGGAGAGGCTGACAGCTCAGAGGTAGGATGTGACTATATTGCCCACATCTGGGGTGTTTTCGTAACGTGCACTCTTGGTGAGCAAAGGCAGAGCTGGAGTAGCCAGTCTGAGATCCTAATTTGAAAAGCAGTCCTGAAGCAGCTCAGAGCTATCTCTCAGATCTTCTGCACAGATGATTATGTTGTGTGTTGCAACGGTGTGATCACTGCACACAAAAGCAATTAATTAACTTTTTTGCTTTCTGAAGGATGTAATTATTTTTTATAGATATGATTTACTCCTGCAAGCCTAAATGAGGCTTTTGTCTTCGGGAGCAGAAGGTTTGGAACCAAAAATGCAATTTGGAATTGAAACATTTTTCAGCTGCAAGTAGCATTAATAGTAATTACCACTTGGTGGTCTTTCAGTCGGTGGAAACAAACCATGGAAATGATAATTGTAGGATTCATTGGGACTTAGATTAGCAAACTAGACACCAAGTGGGCTTCATACATTGAGCCAGAACTCTGGCTCACATGAAGCCTGCAGAGCTTATCTGGGATCAGTGGAGCAAAGCCCATTGGATTGAATTTGCTCAAAGAATAAACAGATGCCTTGTCAGAAATAGAACAGTTAGAAACAATTGCTGCATGGGATGATGATGAAAAAGAGCTGCAGAAAGATACAAGGGTGTTTAGACTTCTTTGAAGGCAGACAGCTGACTTAAGGGTGGAAAAATGGGGCCAGCCTGGCATTCTGGGGGAATCATCAAGTGCTGCAGTGACAGGAAGGTGCACTTGAGAACATCTTCATTAGGTGAAACAAATTCAAATGGAAAAGAGAACTCTTAAGGATGCCTCATGAAATGAGCTGTTTAGAAGGACTGAGATAATTTCATTTGGTTTCCACTGAAGTTGAGGAAATTGAGTGTTTGCAGTTGCCAATCAATAGAAATCTGTTTTATTCTTAAGAAGAGTCCCTTGAAATAGTGTATTTTCATGTATTGGAAATGCAAAATATGAAGACTCCAAGGAATGTATTATCTGTAAAGAGGTTTTCAATTACTTATGACTTCATTATAATCTCCCAACTCATTGCTTGATGGTATGGTGTTTATTTGAAGATTTGCACAATCTCAGATCTAGATTGTTGTGTTTTGTTGAGATGTGGACCAATTTTGAAATATCTGAACTAAGCCTAACACTAAGAAATAACCTGCAGTGAGGGTGAAAAGCTCAAATACCTGCATCTCAAAGTGAGCACACTCCAGCTAAGTGTACTTTTCATGCTTTCTAGGGGGGCATATAGGACCTTGGTCCTACACAGCCTTGGTCATATGACATAATTGTAAAATAAGTTTTCCTTATCTCAGAAATAAAAGGTTCTTTCAGGTCATTCATAAATTTTGAAAGGGAGTTATATTGTAATCTGGAGCTGATCTTTCTTTTCCCATTATCTCCTGCCATTCTGTGATATGAGGACACTGTGTTCTTTACAACAGTCTTCACTCAGAGCTTTAGTTGCTCACAGAAGTGATTAACTAGTAGAGACATGGGGTGGTCTTAAGCATCTTCAGCAAGGCATGCAGGTGAGCAAAGCCCACACCCAGGGGTGGGTTTCACTCCTCATTCATGCCTCCTGCTCTTGCTGGAATGCACGTTGGCAGTTCCTGTTACAGATATGGATTTAGATTCAGGAAATGTGACTTCATAGAATTGTTCATCCCACACTGTATCTTAACACCATGGGATGTCTCAAACATTGAAAATTTATCATGTGTAGAGCCTTGTGGTTTTTAAATGTGCCTGCTTCTCTTCTCTTTAATTATATTTTTTACTTGCTGTCTGCCTTTCTAGTATGTCTTTATTTACATTAGGTGCTATCTCCTTTCCTTGACTTACAGGTGAAATATTTTAATCTAGAGGGTTTTTCCTCTGTAATTATACTTGTGACAACAGGAAAAACAAAACAATACAAAACCAACCAAACAAATCTATGCCATTCTAACTGTTGGTTTCTCTTACCAGTTTGCTGTTTTGTGGTTCACAAGAGATGCCATGAGTTTGTCACCTTCTCTTGTCCTGGGGCTGACAAGGGACCAGACACTGATGTAAGTACCTTGATATTTAATATGGTGCTTTTACACATGGTTTTATATTATTACATATAACTGTGAGGATTAGTTACAAACTGTATCAATAGGCTCTTTATGGTAGATAATTGTAGTTCAAGAGGGTTTGACAGTTCTGAAGTGAGTATTTATGGACTGTAAGATCTATTTTGGTAAAAAAAAGTAAGTGAATGTGTGACCAACAACAATATCCCTCAGAACATGACAGCCCTGAGGTGTTTACCCAAGCATGAAGTCAGCATGAAGTCAGCATTTTATTTTTGTTTGCTTTATGTTGGATGTATTTGGTGTTAACAGTTCTCAGGAAGGCTGAGACATTTTCTGAACTTCCTTTGTATCCATCTTATCCCAAAGTTTCCTTCAGAGCTGGTTCTGGTCCTTGTGCTCTCTGCACACAAGGAACTATAGCTCCAATTAGATTATAGTTTAATCTTGAGCCAGCTGGCTTATCTGAGGTAGGTTTTCAAAACTGGAGATATAGTCATGCTTGAGCTAGTACAGCACTCAGGATACACCCATTTTGTCTCGCTCTGTCAATACTTCTATACACACAGAGCATTTTTGGTCAACAACCAGTTTTCCCTTCCACACATCTGCTTATTGTGGTGAGACACAAGTACAAGAATTTTGTGTCACCCTTCTGAAATAATAAACTAATCTTGTTTGTTCACATAAAAATAACATTTATTTGGGTTTTCTAAATTCCACTTTACAGTGAAGTAATTTAACATCTGTTTATCAGAACAATACATTCTGAGTGTTCTTTGTCTGAACAGCTCTGTTTTGTTTCTTTGAACGTATTCATGCTCTAGATTGTAGGGTATTATCTCCTCTGATGAAATGCAGCAGAAGACTTTTTTTGCAAGGTTTTAATGAGCTTCTCATGAACTCTTTCAATATGCTGGCCAAGAGACTAATGAACAATGTATGGGCAGAAGTCACAAGGGGTTTTGGAAAGTTTGAGATGTTGAAAAGTTTTCTTATTTTAAAATTCAAATACAGGGGAACATCAATCAGAGAGTAAGATTGAAGAAGTCAGGATTCAAGCATGGAACAGTTACATTGGTTACCTGTGCAAAGAATGTGGCTGTTGCCAGAGGTTTATGAAGTGTGTTGAATGGGGCTGGGGGGCAGGAAACGCCCCGGCAGCCACACCGTGTTCCTCAGCAGGTTTGACAGTTGTTCAGGGCGGTTCATAAAACACCTCTTTCCTTTTAGCATAGAGCACAGCCTGTGTGAAGAAAGTCACTGAACTGAGCTGAGGTCAGTTTTTATGGCAGAAGTCAGAGACTTATGATAATAATGTCACAGTTAGAGCCCTGACTTGGAAGCCAGTGCGGAGCCTTCCAGGGACTCAGCCTCTCTGTGCTTGGGACACAAGTCCTCAGCCTGGCTGTGCTAGAGATTCCCTAGTGTGTTTTATTTAAGGTGACTGTGCCACTAAAACAATCATGAAGGCAGGAACAAGAATCACAGAATTATTCTTCCTACTCTTCCTTTTCTGAAAGTTCTTGGGCTCTTTCAGCTTTGCAGGGAGAGGCTCTGTCTCCAGAGCAGCAGTCGGGCTGGGGGAAATGCAGCTTCACTGGGCTGGATGGCAAAATGCCTCCTGAGCATCAAAGGGGCCAGAACTTTGCAACAGTCTCAGCAATTAAACAATGTCTGCTTAATTACTCACTCTCTAAATATGTTTCATACCTACAAGCAATACGTGGCCGATTTACTTTGGTTGGTTCTAAACCACATTAGAATAAAACAATTAAACCTGCTTTTATCTTGGTGCTCAGCTGTGATTAAGATGTTAATGAAAGTCACTGAGTGAGAATTTTAGTGGTGACACTCATGAGTAGGTCTTCTGTATCTGTAACCAATGGTTTGACTCTTGAAAATGTTCCTGATTGTTATTATTTTTTTTTAAACAAGGATTCCTCAGGGTTTTTCTCCTAAAGTTGATGAACAAGAACAGATGTTTGTGTGAGAGACAATTACATTTTATCAATAATTTCTTCATGGTCATAGGATCTGTTATGTGGCAGGTTGTTAACAGTCTTTAGTGTTGCTGCTTGCATTTCTTGATTTGTTTTTTGGACCTTGGTGATTAAATAAATCAGCCTAGTGCTTCATTTTAGTATTTGGGTTATGAAATGATCCTTTTCAATATTTGCACCAAGTGATATCTCAAAAATACTTTGAAGATTAAAAGCAAACAGAAAATAAATGCTTTATTAAAATTGTGTTACATTAGTGGGTCCTGTTACACAAAGAGGGTTGTAGGATGTTATACATCAATTTACTGAAATGCTTGACTGTAATGTCTGCCTTTCTACAATCCAGTAACTTATTCCTCTCTGAGCTAGTACATGCTTTGTTCTGAAATGCAGGGTGCTATAAAGCTTATAATAGTATTTAGCAGATTTTGAAATATTAAAAATTCATTAGCTAAATTATCTCATGCAGGTGCACAATTAATTTGCATACTGAAATCCTCCAGTGTCTTTGCATGGTGTAGCCTTTCCATTAATTGTAAGAGTAATATTGTCAGTAATAAAATGAAAATTTCCAGAGCAATAATTAGAAATTATTATAATTATAGATTAGAGTGCTATTTATTGCCTATTGTAACAATTTAAAATGATCATGCACTCTCCGTTTAGCATAAGTGAGGCAGTCCTTACAAATACACCACTAGAATCACTGTCAGTTGAGCTGGTGTTACTGAGTAGGGATGCTCTGGTGGTGCTGGGGCTGCCTGGGGACAGGGAGAGCTCCTGACCAGGGGTTGTTGCTCCCTCAGGAAGATCCCAAAGGGGAAGAAAAACCCTAAGTTCAACAACTTCATTCAGCTTTTCCTGCAAAGTGAATGGGCCAGGTCGGGTGTGTGTTTACATCTGATGCTCCTTTAAATGTAGCTCAGTCATCTCTTTCAAAGTCAATCGTGTACAGAGAGTAACATTTGTTGTTAGAATTGTTGGAATTGGTACAAATGTTGCAATTTTGTAACTTTTTTGGGCTGAGGGAATCCCCTGCAGAAGGGGAAGCCCCTCTGGCAATGTCCCTGTTTTTTCTAAATCCATTTCACTGTTGCAACAGAAGATTTTTTAAATTTCTAGATATTTAAATACAGCCAAAACAATAAAAGAGATTCCAGACCATACAGTCCACAGGTCTTTTCTTCTTTCCTAGCCTTTCTTACATGCCATGGAGAGAGGTATTTAATACATTTTGACTACTCAGCTGTATAAACATCCCCCAGTCTGTATCATGCTAAAAATAGTGCTCTACAAATATTGTCTCCTTGGGTAGTATTTTTGTTTGCTACCGTGTTCTGTGGCTGTCAAAGAGGGAATAATTTATTTAATTTTTTTGCTGTAAAATTCAATGCCTTAAAGGAAGGTGAGTGTAACAGAGAGCTAAGCTTAAAATCACCTTTTTTTTTTTCTTCTGTATTCAGACTAGCTGAAATGAGAGGCTGAAGGGTCTGTGTTTGTGCCAGAAGGAAAATAACAGTCGTGAATAACGTGGTTGTCCTTGACTAGACTGAAACTCTGGTGTGTGGGGAACAATATCCTGTTTCAGATGAAAGAAGAATTCACATAATCAAAAAAATTTACATTTCCTTAATACTTGGCAGGCTGTGAGCTCTGGTGTCTTAGCAAAATACCAACTCAGGCAGTTATTTTGCTGCAATCTAATGGCTCTCTGGAGTTCAAGAAGAAATTGCTCATCATCTCTTCATGGGCAACTCTTTATGGTGATGCTGTTGAGCCCAATTTCCCAGCTCCTGCTGCTGTTACACTCTAAGGTTACGTGAAGCATCATCTCCAGTTCAGATACTTGGTTTTGGAAGATTGCTCAGTGTTCATAAAACCTATTTTAAGTCATTGATGAAATGCTTTAAAACTTGAGTAAATTACTGTAAAATTGTAACAACCTCAAAAAATTGATGGTGGCTGTAACTATCTTTGATAAGATGTGCTTGATATTAAGGAATAACTAGTCAAGTTTCTTTCAAAAAGGTTACTTTAAAATTTAGAGTTAAATTTAGTTCCTTTTTTTAATGGAATGGAGTGGCCAGAAAGTGTTTTCAAACTGCACGTGGTTTATTAAAATGTTTCCAATTCCATATCACATAGAATTAAACTAAAATTTTTAAATCACCAGTAATTTCAAATAGTCTTTGAGCATATTATTATTTTTTTCAATATGACTTTGTAAAGCTTCATACAGAATTTCCATTCAGTTTGATGGTTGCAGTTGTGATACAAATGAAGGGTCATCTTCCTTGTGTCATATTAAGCAGGAGTAATTTAATATAATTGGGCTGTCCTGAAGGGCTTGGTTACCTTGACCACATTGCATTTTCTGTTCAATTCCAGGTAATTCTGAAATCTTCTGTTTAATATGGTTTTCCCCCTGACCTTTAATTATGCTTCCAGACTGTTTGCATGTAGGAGGCTGGTCCTGAGTAAAGGGAGATTGTTGCTTTATCGGTCTGGGGAAATTAAAAAGAACCCCTCATGGCATGCAAAGGCAGTGACTGGAAGCACAGTATTAAGACATACTGCAGAACTAGTTAAAAAGGGATTTGCAGTCTTTTTCCAAGGATAATGAAATGCAGCAGCAGGCATGTCTGATTTGCTTTTCAACATTTGGTTGCTTTTACAATGACAAGCAACCATTATCCATGTTTGACATCATTAGTGACCTGGGCAACAGACAAGCATAAATGGAAAATATAGTCACTGACGTTGGAGTTTTTTTATTGCTAATCTGTGTTTTGGATAATAGACAATCTTGTTCTAGAAATATTTTCTTTTAATTGAAATAAATTTTTAAAAAAAATGCTCCCACTTCATCACAAAAGGTGGGGTTGGGAGGACATGCCTTAGTTTCCTCCATAAAATGCTCTTGAAGTGGGACAGGGTCTTATGTCCCTTGACATTCCTCTCCCCTGACTAGATATTTCAGAATCTAAGTGC